TAAAAGGTTTACAGACACTAGTAACGCAATTGTGGAAAATCAGGAAAGAATACGGGCTTAATTTTAACATCAAGAAAATAAAGTACATAGTTATCAGTAAAATACATATTCCACCTAGTCAATTACTGGTAGATCAGCAACAAATACTCCAAGTGCCCCGTTACTACTATTTAGGAACCACCATAAACGACCAATGGGATCACTCAGTTGAGATAAAACAAAGAATTGAAAAGTCAGGTCAGCGTTTGTCAGAATAAGCAAGATATTTAAGAGCCACGACCTACCCCTAAAAACGAAAATCCATGTATTGAGATACTACGTGTTTACAGTGTTGCTCTATGGAGTTGAATCATGGATACTAACCGAGGTATCTATGGGAAAACTCGAGGCGTGTGAGATGTGGTGTTATAGATGGATACTGAGGATCTCCTGGGTGGACCGAATAACATATATTGAAGTTTTACGTCGGATGGATAAAACATTTCGATCTGCGGTCAATAACGTTAGAATTGCCATGCTAATAGCCAACATATGTAATTGATAGACACCACAAGAAGAAGAGTGTGACCTGTTGTCTGGAATGGTGTGCTGCACAAGAATTTTTCTCTGTTCTATAATCACTTTTATGTTGAGTTATTCTTTGTTTTAACCACTGCGATGTTTACCATATATACTGCCCATCACATTCGAGACAAGCAAGAAAGCGGTGTTTGGTCTTTGAGCTTTGATAAAAAGCTGTAATTCAATATGCTGTTGCCTTTAGCTCTTTTGATTTTGAGAATTCTACTCATTAGCTTGATTATATTGTAAGTTAAGTCATTTAGTTAGGGTAATTTTTATAAATACCGGGACTTGTTGGTCTGTTATTACATTGCCCATCGTATAAGTCTAAGTTGTAGATAAGTCGGTTAAGAGTTTTACTAGGATAGCCATAAGATACATTATACAAAAATATGTTGTATAATATTTTAAATTCTTTTTAGAACAATTAACTTTTATACAAAAATTAATGGGAAAAACCCCATAGTTGGCTGTATACCTTCGTTTAAAAAAACAAAAAAGTTAAAACACTTCACACATGTGTATTGTGGTATAAAAATAAATATTTAAAACTTTATAAAAGTGTCGTCAACATTTAAGTTCTGGTAGAACGTTTTCGATATGATCAGATCATCCTCAGTGCCTTGTGTACTTGTAGCTAATATTAAAGTTGTCTATAAGACCTCCATGTATAGATTTACAGCATTCTAAATGTTAAATTAAATAATGTTTTGACTTTAGGTCGATGACAATGGATAGGTTTTTAAAAATTACTTTAGGGACTACATGTCTCCCTGCTCGATTATTAACACGTGTTACTTGTGAGTTGAAACGACACAGACCATTTTATACAAAAATTTCAACAACTTATATCTTGGAAACTAAGCATTTGCGAACATGAATTTATATAGCAAACTGTCAGTATTTTTTTTATGCAGAATAATCCAATGAAGTTTGGCATACTTATTTACTAACACCCTGCGTTTAAACCATCAGCATTAAATATACTAAATAAAATTAAAGTAATAGTCATGTTGATATAAATTATGCTATTTTATTTTATATCATATTAAAAGCACTTTTAGAACTCTACCACCAAAATGCACAGCTATTAACTATCGCATATTGTCCCCGCATAGGTTTGGGTTAGTCATCTATCATTTAACAGCTTGTTTCGTTGATATCGCACCACCATTATTTAAAACTACAGAGTTTTCGGTTTCCCAACGGCTATAAATTCTGATTCAATTAAATATGGTCATAAATTCACATAATAGTTAATAAAATACAAAACCAAAACAAACCGTATCACAACCCACAATAACAGAAATGTCACGGCTTTTAATGCATCTGATATAAACCGTTAACAAAATTCAAATGAAAACAGTGGTGTACATGAATTTTTATTTGTATAATATGAAACTACATTACAAATTATATAATAGTTTTGATCGGTTAACAAGATTGAATCTGGAGACGACATTGTTATTAATTGGGTGGCACAAAGCAATTGTTCTTTTTTTTCCCGATAAAAAAGAAGAATTATTTGAAATGATAAAAGAACTGGACGTAGAAGCTGGAAAGATATCATATTAAGATATGATTAACAGCAAGACCAAAACTATAACAAATACAGATGAAGACATCACAATGAGAATCGGACAAGATGAAATAGAACAAGTTAAGGATTATATATATATATATATATATATATATATATATATATATATATATATATATATATATATATATATATATATATAGCGAGTGTTTGCAACTTTAATTTTGTCGCTTCTCGCATCCTAATCGCCATAATTTCTTATCGGCCCAGTCTCCTTCTTGAAGACCTCTATTTTCCATTTCTATATGAATATTGGATATCCATTTCTTTCTTGGCCTTCCCCTTTTATTTCTCTGTGTAGGTCTCCAGTTCCAAACCTTTCGTGGTATCCTTTCTTCGTTCATCCGTCTCAGGTGTCCATACCATTTTAATTGTTTTTCAGCTATCGTATCCATTATTGTGTTCTTTACTTTCATTCGCTCTCTTATGTTTTCATTTCTTATGTGGTCAAACAAAGTTAACAAAGTGGTATATATATATATATATATATATATATATATATATATATATATATATCTTGGTCAAACTAAAACAAAGAGAACCAAACAGCAGAGATTAAGAGACGACATGGGCGGCATTTGGCAAACTAAGCTACATTCTTAAACACAGAAGATATCCACAGCATCTTAAGACCAAAGTATATAATCAATGCGTACTCCCTGTTCTTACTTATGGTTCCCAAACGTGGACCTCTACAAAAGCAAACATGGACAAAATCATAAAAACCCAAAGAGGAATGGAAAGACAAATGTTGCACATAAGACTAATGGATAAGAAGAGAAACGAGTGGATAAGAGAGAAAACAAAAGTAAGGGATGTTAGACAAGAAGTTGCAAAATTGAAATGGAGATTTGCCGGACACAATATAAGACAAACAGAAGACCGATGGAACAAAATTCTTATAAGTTGAAGACCATGGGAATATAAACGAAGCAGAGGAAGGCCCTAAATGAGATGGGCAGATGATATCAAGAAGTACGTGGGCTCTAGATGGATGACTGTAGCGACAGACAGAGAAGAATGGATAGGGATTGGGGAGGCCTATGTCCAAAGATGGATCGAAGAAGGCTAATTAGATAGATAGATAGACAAAGCAATTGTAGTAAATATCAGCAATGGATGTTTTGTTACACAATATAATTTTTCCATAAAATGGTAAGATGGAAACTGATTGATAATTTACTACCAAAAATGCAACAAATTAAAAAATGTATGTATCTCTTTCATCTTTCTTCTGTTTTTATATAGACAGATCTGTTTTTCAATGTGCCTCCAGTAAAGTATCGATCCATCATTTTCGTGGTCTTCCTACTGATCGTCTTCCTATTGGGAAACCGTCTCTTGCCGTCCTTACTACTCTGTTTGTTGCCATTCGACTTATATGATCATTCCATTCTACTCTTCTGTAGAAGAGTAGAATGTAGGGCAAGGAAAGGTATATTGGTGATACAAGTAATTTGATGAAATATTTAATCAGATTACCACACAGCTAGTAAGTTGCTACGAGTGTAAGCAGGACAAACATATATTCCGATTTAGCGATGCGCGCACCTGCGTTTAGTAAACAGACTGTTTTGACCATTGTGCGACAGTGGAGTCATTTCTTATTGAATGTGAGTTATATTTGGTTACATTTTTATCGAAATAGTTTTCTTTATATAACTATAAAACCATTTAATAAAATAATTATCAATAAAAAAAAGCTGTATTGAATTCGTGATTTAGCCAAGGTAAGTTTTTATTCCTTAAATTGCGGTTGTTGTTTCTTAGTGTTTTTGCACACATTTTTCAAGAACTTTTGAAACGTGAAGTTTGGATATATTTTGTTTTTTTAATTAAAATAAAATAGAGAAGTGTAGTACACTATGCAAAAGGTATTGTTTTGAAGAAACCGTAAATGTATTTTATTTTTAAAAGCTGTTAACTTTTTTTTATCACCAAATTACCTATACAAGATTCCGATATTACGAAATAACCTATTTAATTTTTACTTTTAGATCGGTAATGAAAAAAGAGAATAAATATAGAAAATAAAAACAACCGCAACTTTAAAATGCTGTCAGATTAGTAAGAGATGAAGGTAAGACTATATATAAAGCTGCAAAGGAAGTAGAAGTCCCATGGAGCATTTTGAAACGTTACATAGCAGATGAAGAGGATTCAGTAAGAAAACTGGGGAGGCTTTTTATATTGTCATGTGATTTAGAGTTGATGAGGCTTTACAATTATATTATAGAAATGCAAGAATTAAGTTTTGGACTAACCGTGTATCAAATTAGAAAATATGCTTCTGATCTTGCTAAAGTGGATGGTCGGGAGAAATTCTTGCTGCCAAGTAACTGCATTGCAAGCAAATTGTGGTGAAATAGTTTTAAAAGTAGGTACAAGTTGTGCCTTCGGGTGCCAGAAAATCTTTTGGTCAACAGAGATTCCATGGCTAATGAATTTATGATCAAAGATTTCTTTTCGAAACTGAATTATGTTCGAAACTGAATGAACTCAATATAAAAAACAAACCGAATTTAAATTTGGAATTGCGATGAGACTGGATTATCGTATGTAGTGAAACCTTCCAAAATTGTTACCGGCATTGGTAAAAAGTATGTTCATAAAAGATCCTACGCTGAACGAGGTCAAACTCAAACTATGTTAGCATGCATTTGTGCTGATGGAACATGGATTCCTTCTATGTTAATCTTTAAACGTGTTCGATTAAATGATACACTTAAAAATGATGCCCTTCCCAACGCATTAATAAAATTATCTAAAATAATTTCCATAATATCACCAAATTTCCTAACTACTATCACCAATATACCTTACCATGTCACCAACTTACCTAACATAAGTTTGTATGTCAATTTGATATTTACTATCATTATTAATCATTTTTTGTTAAATTAACTCTTCTAAACATTTACTTTAAATAATATGTAACCTAATAAAGCAAAAATTCGAAAACTGCTTAGTTTTCGAATTCCTATATTATTAGTATATTTCATTTTTATCACCAATATACATTTCCTTACCCTATATATTTCATCTTTTATGTCATTATTTTTGTGAAAACTGTTTTGTAAATTTGTAAATAAAATAGATATTTATATTTCTCAATATTGTTTCATTCAGGCACTCGGAAGCTCTCTTCTGTATATCCTTTAACTTCCACTTCTGTTTCGAGCCTTCCGTAGCTAGATAATGTGATAGTTATATATTAAAACTCCATAACTTGGTCTATTATCTGACTTTTAAGCTTCAATTTACATCTTAGTAAATTTTCTCTCATAATTATGCATGTTGTCTCTATTCTGGAAACTAACATGTTAAATTTTCTGGCGGGAATATTAAATTGCTGCAGCATACCTTTTAAATCATCTTTACTTTGAGAGACCAGTATTGCATTGTCTATATAGCAGATTGGTTGGTATGGTTGGTTGGTTTTTCTCCATTTCGGTATCCTTTTTTAGTTCTTAATTTTTTTATTACTTTATTAATAATAAGGTTGCACAATAAAAAAGTGGTGGAATCTTCCTGTTGTATCCAATGGCCTTCTTTAATAGGGTCGGTTAGTTCTTCTTCTACTTTTACTTTTATTGTGTTATTTTGGTGGATATTTTTGATCAGTTTGATTATTCTTAGAGGTATCTCCCTTACATGCAATAAGTGGAGAACTTCCTTTAATTTGACCCTGTCTAATACCCTCTTAAAATCTACGAAACATAGATATGCCGTTTTCCTGTATTAAAATGATTTCTCTTGCATTTGCCTCATTATAAATAAAGCGTTGGTGCATGATCTTCCCGACCTAAAATCTTGTTCTTCTGATAGTGTTATAATTTCATTCAATTTATTTGTTATCACTTTGGTCCCTAATTTTAGTGCTGTGTTTAATAAATTAATTCCTCTATAATTTTTTGGATCCAATTTATCTTCCTTTTTAAAGAGAGGTATTGGGATGCTTCATCTTCATTCTTGAGAAATTCTGTTTTGTTCTATTATTTTTTGCATTAGTTTTAATAGTCGTTTAGTAAGATCTGATCCTTTGTACTTTACGAGTTTGTTTGGTATTTTGTATTCCGTAGAAGTCGTATTCCATTTTTTTAAGAAGCTTTGCCAATGTTAAATTTGTATTTGTCTAACTAAAGTATTCGTTTCATTTTTAATTCGTTTGTAGTAGTTGTATACCTTTTGGTGTTAACTGTATTCTTTATTGTCAAAAGGCTTTATTCTTTTCTTTAAATTTTGTCTTCAATTCCTCTCTAAACCATGATGTTTTCTTTTCTGATATGTAAGGGTTCGTTACTTTTCTTTAGACAAGTGATTCTGTTGCTTTAAAGCAATTCTATGATATTCTTTTTCTATAGAAGTATTCCGTGGATTCCATATTCATTCCTTCGATTTTGATTTTTGTGTGGCGTCGCTCTTTTGGGTGTTAAGTTTATTTTACATATTTCTAGGCTATGGTCGCTACCTACATGTGCTGAGTTAAGGCATCTTACGTTGATTATTTTTAATGAATGTATTAGTTGTAACATATAAGTTATAATATATTCTATCATGCACCTCTGTCCACAGGTATTATTGAATGTATACTGGTGTTGATCTTTGTGGTCAATAAATATGTAGTTTACTCTAAGTCCATTTAGAAGTTTATCATCATTTTTTCAGTTTTGTTTTTATCGTTTTTGATATGTTTTTGCTTAATTCCGAGTATTACTTGACATCCTACTTCTTCATTATTATCTCTGCTGTTACAATGCTTTATGATACGTATTAAGGCTTTTTGATGTGATATTGGTACCTTTGGTAGATTTGGCTACACCTTTTTGTCCCTGTTTTATTTTGCTACTTCACTGTAGATTAGTATGTATTTATCTAATTTTGATTGTCCTATTCCTTTCGTTTTTGTTTCCTGTAGAGTGCAAATGGCTATTTGCTTCTCTTTTACCACTTATGTTATTTCTTTGTACTTGATTTAAGCGATCTGATATTCCATGTACTAATTCTTATTTGGGTTTTGGATATTTTTTGCTTGATTATATTTCTAACTGTGGTCGTCTTTATAGTATCAATCCGGTTCCGAGATATTTACAATCGCCGGTCGTTTTAAGCGTTGTTTCTGGGAGAACGGCATACTCTACATTAAAAACTGCTAATAGACGTTTTTGTTTAAAATTATCTTCGTTACACTTTTTATTTAAAATATTCTTTCTAAGGCGGTTTAGTGTTTAAATTTGATTTTTAGAAGTTCAGTAGCAGTTTCGTCTCTGAATACCGGAATTTAATGACAAAAAAAGAAAACCGTTTAATGACAAAAAAAGAAAACAAACATAATATATTTGGGAGGTGTGCCTATAAAACAAAGTTAAAAAATAAAACTACTTGGAACCTGGATCACAAAAAATAATGATTAAAAAACAAAAATAAGAACCAGGATAGAAATAGCAAGAAATACGTTTTTTTTTTAAATAATTAAGACAATAAAAAGAATAAAGTAACACTATCTGGGATCTGCATTTAGGGGATACCAATATAAAATGCTCAGATTAATAATACAGAGAAAGATAAGTGAAGGAAGAAGTATTGACAGAAGAAGAGTTTCATTATTAAAAAAAATTAAGAGATTGATTTAAATGTAGGTCTATATAATTTTCTTAGCAGTGGTAGAAAAAATAAAAATAGTGATAATGGGGATTCTCCCTTCTTTCGATTAGTAGGCGGAACTTGAAAAAGGAAACCTTTTAGTAAGATTGGAGAGAAAAATACAAAGAGCCTTTATAGGAATTGTGGAAATAATACGAAAGTAAGAAATACGTAATATTATAGAACTAAAACGATTATGTAAGTAGCCAAAAATAACTACTGTAATGAAAATACAGTAAAAGTATTCCGAAAAAGGTACTTTCAATAACGCTAATAAAAAATAAAAGAAAAAGTAGAATAAAAAGAAGTAGAAGAGCAGCGTACAAAGCTATTGGCAAAGAGTCACATTGGGAATTGCAAAAGCATTGGATAAAAGTAAATTTAATTAAAATAATTAAAATAAATGTGTATTTAGCCCTAGGTCTCCAAGGCTTGTTGAACTTTCTAAATAATAAATTATCATCGATTAACAGGTTTTAATATAAAACAATTAATATTAAATGCTTTACAGCCTTTTACCTGTTGGTTCAGCGGTTTAATTTTTTTTTATTACAAAAATATGTCACATCCACCAAAAAGTTATTAGTAACGGAACAAAATATAGATAACAAAGTTAACACGTTCGCTACCAGGGGTGTATTTAGGTTTCGTCCTACTGGACCAAACATAGATTATGACAAATTCACTAAGAAAAACCATTTCTGATTGTAACTTACCTAATCTGAGATAAAAATATGAAATTCCTGTGGGATTTTTTGATGCGGCTCATATATGAGACGCTGGTCTATAGCATAACTGGTAATATTATAGACCATATGTCTCATATATGAGACATAAAAAAACTTACAACTTTAAATAAATTTAATTATATTTATGTCACAACAGAAATAAAATAAGGTATTCTGTTAAAAAAAGACAAAAAAAAAACAGGAAACTAAAAAAAACCAAATCTGATGTGTGTGGTAAAAAAAGCATTTACTGGTTGTCTTCGTGATACTCTTGAAAACATGGATCTACGCACAACCCAATCAATTGTCCAGATTTGTCTTTAATTTCTCGCAAACAAAGAATGTCAGGGTCCTTTTCTTTTTTGAGGAACAAATCCGACACCTTCTTCGTTTTTCTGCTTTTTTGGGATAATGAGATGAAGGTTTTACCTGACTTTTCCTTGATGAAAGTGGAATTTGAAGATAGTCAAGTATCAGCTGCTCCCTGAATTTGAAGTACGTAATTTTTTTTCCTTAGCAACATTATGCAAATAGGTACAATTCCATAAGCATACATCGACAAAATGAAAAAATAATTTTAGGTAGCATCTAATAGTTTTTCTGGGTGTCGTATAATATGAGAGCATTTGGTCGCTTCTATCAACACCGGACATACGTTTGTTATAGTCGACTACTACACTGGGTTTTTCTTGTTCTACTCTTCGTTTATTAGTTGTTTTTTGAGATCCAGGTCCATGCAATGTTAATATCATAAGCACATCGCGCTTGTCCTTCCACTTCAAAACCATCAAATTATTCTTTTTTCTGAAAGTGCTCTCTTCTTTGCGTAATTTGTAGTCTATTACCACTTTTGGGTTTCCTTTCCGGTTTTTTCTCAATGTTCCTACCACATGAGTCTTGTTTTTATAAAGGAATTCTGCAAGTTTTACACTATTGTAATAATTATCTAAGTACAATGTGTGACCTTTTCCAATATATCGCTCCGCAAGTTTTGTAACTACAGCTTGTGCATGGCCAATCTCATTGTTCACTGTGTCCTTTCCGGTATACACTAGACACTCCAAAACAAAGCCCTCTGGGGTGCAAAGTTCATACAGCTTTATTCCGTATTTCGCACTCTTACTGGGAATATATTGGCGAAATGTTAATCGTCCACGCCAAAGCAGCAAGGCTTCGTCTAAGGAGAGATCTCTTCCAGGATATAAAACTTTACGCATGTTTTCAAAAACATGGTCTGCAACTTTTTCAATTTTGTGCAAACGGGAAGTTTTTGTATCATCTTTCTTGGTAAAACACAAACACCGTAGAATCTGTTCGAATCTATTCCTCGGCATGATATTTCCAAATATTGGGTGGGAATATAGTGGATTCGTACTCCAGTAGCACTTAATGTTTGGCATTTTTATGTTTCCCATTAGCATGCATAATGCGAGAAAACGGCGGAATTCATGGAGAGTAGTTGGTTTCCATTTATTCATTGTAGAATGCTTCGGTATTACATTGCCAATAACTGACAGT